AAATCTCATAAAAGGAGTAGGTTGTTATTAACGAATAGGCTACTGCTGGCCTAATTTCGACGATGTTTGAATTGCAAAGACTTATATAAGAATAAGTTTTAGGCTTTCATTTGATAATATTAACGTGTAGTTACAATTTTAAGTTTTTTGATCTTTTATCATCCCATAAATATATAAAATATATTTTATATATTTAATATTTATTTGAATCAACATTTATATATCAAAAAATAAAGCACCCAAAGTATTGTCAATTACAGTCTTAACCAGTTAGTTTGTTCCATAAAAAATAATATTAAGGTTTAAGAAAATCAAATTTTATGATCTAAACTTTCCAGGGCTAAAATTGCAATACGTAGAGACTCGTCAGACCAAAAGTTCGAATACACTTGTCATATAGAAAATTCAGTCAATTAGTTTTATAAAGAAATTTTAGCAATGGTATTAGTGGACTTAAATTAATGATTATTGATCAACATCAGATATCGTCAACACATTCCAGAAAAAATTGGACCATCACATCATAAGTTTGATAATCAGTGTATATTTTCCATGAAATGTGGGGAGTAGGGACAATGGTAGACATGGACACATGAAAGGTGAAATATGCTGATAGAGACAGTGGAATAAGCAAGAGGCAATATAACTTCATTGCAACTCCAAATCCATGTCTCGGCTGGATTTACAGCAAGTACAATTTAACAAATGTTCTAGTGCACCCTGATTCTATAAAAGCGAAGACTGTTATACTGCTATTGCATGTAATTCAATTCAAAACAGGGAATGATAATGATAATCCATGACGAGCAATTTTGTTACAGGGAGAAACTATCTGATGAGATTACCTTTTGAAACTGACCACTGCACATATCACACTGATGGGAAATATTTGTTTAGTTTGAAAGGAAGTGAATAAAATTCTTCGCTCCTTGAATCGCCCTTGTAAGTTCGGAACTTGTCCCACCAATGCTTACCCCTATCTTTCCTGATATTACCGCCATATTTCCTGCCATCACCGGCGTAATGCAGGGTGTTATCAAGAAAGTATGCCACACATCCAGCAACAAATGCTTCTGACTGGAAAGGAACGTTTATGATGTCGTTGAACTGCCAATCAAGCAAAGCAGAGGATGTCATCAGTGGAGCTTGATCAACTATGACAAAAAATGTTAAGAAAGTTAAAGCTTGATCAACAGTATTATACCCATCTGGCGCCTGTATGGACTGGCCCATAACCGTTGATTGCTGTATACTCGTTGAAGTATTGTGGCACTGACAAACCCATAAATATAGAGAAGCCTAATATGAACTTTGTTCGGAAGCTGTTGAGATTGCAGAACTGAAGAAAGCTAAGGCCTCCAGCACCTGCACATGCATCATGACACAGTTCAACCATAAATGAAAGTGCCCGTTGTTAATTGGGTCTATATATATGCTTGTTAATTTTTTTGAATCAAGCACATACCAACATATGCAAAGAAAAGGCAGTATAAAGCAGCAATAATGGGTGCTGGAATGGAAGCAAAGAGCGCCCCAAATTTCCCTGCACAATAAAGAAAAATTGACTGAGAACACAAACAAAATGCCCATGAAGAAGGGCAAGTTTAAAGCAAAATCTCATAACCAAGAACTGACCAAGAATGGAAAAGAAAATCATGAATCCAGCTGATATTTGGACCACCCTCCGACTGCCAACTTTAGTCAAGGCCAATAGACCAGCATTCTCTCTGTACAGAAACCAAACAAGGTCAATATCAAACTTCTGTTTCAGTTAATTGAAAATAGCAGCAGGTAAGGAGCCTTCTTTAAACCATTACTGGTCATCTCCAGTAAGAGTCTTACACAGATACTGAGGATCCATTGACAGTTCCAAACAAGCCCGAAATCAAAATGGCAACTCCCTGCAGCATGGGGGAATGATTACTTCACAATGACAAAACTCAATATTAATCTGAAACTCTTAGAAAACTTGCATGGCTGTCTAGCACACATCAAAAAGTAGATAACATTAAAAAAATTTTAATGTCATTGGTCTACATGTACATGTCTTGCTTGCAACAAACAAGAAAGGCACCAGTAGGACTGCTCAACATGTGTCATTTATCTCAACCACATCTCACAATTCTATCTAGCTTTTACTAATTAATTTCGGTTATCCAAGTTTCTATCAGGCAGTTATCATAAGAGTTTCCTTTTAGCTTTAGAATATGTTGACAAACTAAAGTAACACAAAGATAGAAACAAACCTAGAGCAAGAAAATAAGATGAAAGCATCTGTATCTATGTGCTACTCTATACATTAAACGGCAATTCCCTTTTTCTTTTCTTTCTTTGTGCAGGAGTGCACACCAATAATGAAGAAACAAACACATAACCCAAGCCCATCCAAGTCCCTTAGGGTCTGTTTGGGAACATGAATTTGAGAATGTATTAACTTCTTTTCCCTTTTTTTTTTTTTCTCTTTTGGATTTTATGGTACAATCACCAATCCTTTTTTTTACTGTGCATTGCCTTGAATTGATCATTTTCTACTTGAGAAGCTTAGAAGCAGACTTATTCCGTGACATATACGCAAGACAACTTCATGTAACTACTTTCTGCAAATTTTATTTTCCTGACATTATTGATATATGATCAGAAGCATACTCAAATTACCTGCCAGCCAACACCACGGCTGAGAACAGCTGGTGGCATTGGAGTAGCACTTGCATACCTTGACACAGCAATAAAGGCCCCAGTAGACTGCTCATAAGTCAGACAAAGGAAAAAAATAAGAACATTTCAAGGAATCAAATAATGTGTATTGACTACCCTAAAAATGTATCAAAGAGTCTTGAGGAAAAGAATAACCAAGAATGAAAAGATAATGAGAAGGTGGGAAAAGATGATTAAGTACAGGATTCAATTTGTAATTCAGCAATGTTTCAATAAAAATTCTTCCATGCAGATACAATAAACAAGTTGGAACAAAAGTGGCACTTGGCAGGGCAGTGGAATCAATAGAAACAGAATGAATAAAAGCATTGACAGTAGAAACAGATTTGGGATTTTAGTTTATGGGAAAGATTGCTTTTTAGCATTTAAAATGCTAATAAGCAATTTTTGAAAAAAGAAAGTGGCACTCAGCTTTTTTAAAACCTGCTTATAAGCACTTAAAATGCTAAAAAGTAGTGTTTCCATTCAATGCATTTTTAAGCTGATGAGAGAAAAAATGGATTATAAGCAAGTTGAAAAATAAGCTCTGCCAAACAGACCCTTTGTATTGACCACATCCTTTGGTCAAATGGTTTATTCCTTACCTTCGGCCAAATCAGCAATCAATTAAAAAGGAGAGAAACAAAAAAGAATAGAGGAAAAGTAGGAAACAACCTCTACAAGGGCAACAAAGGAAGCCATCATCATAGCAAAGGCTTCACCAGCATCAAATGAAGGTGCTCCCCATTGAAAAGGATACGGGATTCTTATCCTGTAATTTAAGAAAGGTAAAGCCATAATAAACTCTTGTTTACCAATAAATTTAATAAGAAACATAATAAATAGCCATACTTGACAAAGCTGAAAGATTATAGTAAAGGAGTCTCAGCTGTTACTGAACTCTTGTTTCTTTGAATTGATATGCAACTTAATAAACTCTTAAAGTGGGAAATGAGTGCAAAACAAAGTCAATAAACACCTTAAGCAAATAATGTATACCAGAAAAGGTAAAGCCAGGACCATCACCCAGATAATTTCTCACTTTTGGACTGAGACAGCAACATGGCAAATCTCTTTAGACATGCCATGTGCTACACTCACAGCAAATCTTGTTGTATATGTCATGTACTTCACTATTGCAATATAAGCTCACCCACGTTTAAACATGCATGTATGTGCAACTTATTAAATATAAAACAAAATAGAAGTCTGAAGTAATCATAACTTCTCCCCATCCACAACAGTAATTAAGAAAATACATAGCACAGTTGCCAAGTTTTAGATATGCACTAAATTCTACAATAAACCAGGAATAGATGGAATAATTTTCAATACTACATAGCCAGAAATTTGTAATCATAATGTGGTACATTTCAAATAAGTTAAACTCAGATGCAGCAGTCTTTTAACATGAGGTATGCCTATAAGGTTATAACCTAAGAAGAGATGAAGAGGCAAGGAATTGCTTCAAAATTCAGTGAGTAGGCTCCACTTAAAAAAACAATGAAATGCAGTGGTGAGCAACTCTTCAAAGGAAGAAGCATTATTGTTTTACCAGGGAGCACTATCCAGTAGACCAGAACGATCGGTGCGGCAGCTGTTTTGCGTCTTTGGTGAGCTATTTTTGTAAGCTCCACCAACAGTGAGCAAGTGAGCATAAATCCAAACAATTGCCACAGAAAATAGGACAGCAAAACGATCAAAGACCTTTTCCCCTGAGTGTATTACATGAGACAAATACTGCAAAACAAGCATCAACAATTCAAAGCCTGATAAAATTACTGTATCTAAGAGAATTAGAGAAGATAGATATAACATGCATAACTTCTTGACCAATGCATCGAGTGATATTACCTGTGAAATAAACACTAAAATGAGCAGCTGAGGCAGTCCAATCTCCACACATTTGGCAACCTAAAAATACAAAGCGGAATCAATACCCAATAGTTACATGCTGATTAGACACATGTATATGCTTTCAGGTTACATCTTCAAATTATATGCACTATGCAGTAAGGCCAGACTTACCCCGGGAAAACCTAACTCATACAGCCCAAAACCAACTAGAGATACCAAAGGAACAACTGAAAGTGGACTTAGAAACCTGTAAAAGGAAAAACATAACTCATATGAATAAAAATATTAACAGAAAAGCAGTCATGCTAATATAGTTCACTATTCTTTTCCATACCTTCTTGAAGCAAGCATTCCAGCGAGTAGGAAGCAGGGGAATCTAACTATTATTCCTAGAATTTGATGACTAAAAACCATTTTGACTCGAAGAATCTAATTAAGAAATGAATGACACATTTTAGCCGTAATATTAACAGAAAAGCAGTCATGCTAATACAGTTCACTGTTCTTTTCCATACTTTCTTGAAGCAACCATTCTAGTGAGTAGGAGGCAGAGGAATCACACTATTATTCCTAGAATTCATTGATCAAAAACCAATTTACTTGAAAAATCTAAAAAAAGAATTGAATGACACATTTGAGAAATAGGCCAAATGGCGTTAATTGCAGTTACCTAAAGGGAAAAGCATAAAAGTAAGCTCTCCAAGCACTTCCTGAAATAATAAGCATTAATTAACTCTACCTTGCAACATTACGCCAAAGGCCACTGAAGCCAAGGACAATCTGAAGAGTTGAAGCAACAATGAGAGATCCTTGGATTGCCCGCATTATCCTTTCAAATCTCTGAAATGATATCAATATGCAAAACAAAATAGTCAACAAATTATAGCAAACATCATTTTCTTTAAACTAGAGAAAAATCAGTTAAATAAAATATTAAGCATAAACTGTATACTCTTTAGATGTTGTCTGAAAAAAACAGAAGGTAAAAATTATAAGATTGGCTACACTCATGATATAAGCAAATAAAGCAACTTAACAGCAATCCAAATCCAGATAAAAACTGCAGAATGTAACAGCATGGGTTCCTATAAGAAAACCTTAACAGGATCACCATCATCACTGAACCGTCCAGCAAGAATAATTGAGATTGTGGTTGGCACAAAGGTATAAGATCCCCCAATCACAGCAGGTAATCTAGTTCCAAACAGTGATTGCAGTAATGTGTTCAAGCCAGCAACAAAGAGCAGTGTCTGGATCACCTTCGCCTTTTCCTCCTATAGAAGTGATTGCAAAAACATCATTACACGATTAGAATTACATCTATGAAAAATACAAAATAATCCCAAAAAATAAAAGTTGTTTCTTTGTTTTACATAAACTCATTTAATGAGCCTTACATTTCCACCTCCCATCTGTGGAACTAGAGCAGTGGGGATGAGTACTGTTGTGCCAAGCATCACAATATAATGCTGAAAACCAAGCAGAATGGCCTCATCTGCAAGAAACAAGGATTCAGCAGATTAAACACATTCCTTTTACTTGCAACTTAATGCAAGTTATTACTGAAAACAGCATTCGGAAGCAGCAGAGTAGATCCAAGGGTCAATTCCCCCTCACCCATTAGGCTGGAAATGTCTCAGAAACGAAAAACAGTAATTAAGCAGAATATTCAAGGCAGTGTTGAAGGGAAATAGAGACCCAGAATATATTTTTCCAATGGCTTCAACCCAAATCAGGAATTTATGATATTTCCTTACGATAGTAAAATTGTAAGTAGAAGCAAGCTATAACTAAAAAAATTGGGAAGAAGCACAGCAGGAAAAGTGACGGATACAAACAAGCAAAGAGAAGCAAATGCAGAAGTAAGTAGAACCAAAGGGAAATCAATTAACAAGAAGGATTTTAAATACACTTCCACAACCACCATAAACCCATCTCTCTAGTCACCAGAGAAATAAGAATTAAAAAAAAAAAAAAAAAACTATTAACCGGTAAAATTGAAAATACACTCCAAAATTTCAATTAAGAGTATAAAAATTACTCAGAAGAAAGTTTAGGAATATTCAATTAACATAATCAAGGGTTTGATTTTCTGCAGAATAGGTGGACTTTTGCTTTTCTAAAAGGGGGAGAACCCAAAAAGCTACTTTCGGGTAAAAAAATGCAGAAGAAAGCATATCCGAAACAATAACTAATACCAAAACCTTACCTAAAATAATCCCAAACGGATTCAAAGAATCTAAACGAAAAATAAACCAGAAATCAAACAATATATCTGAATTCTTAAGTCCTAAACAACGAATTTAGAATCTAAGCCGCCAAAAACAGGAAAACAAAGAACAGGAACAGTGCACTGAAGATACTCACGCCATGGCGGAGGACTGGTCATGCAATAAGAAATGCCGGGTAGCTGCTCCTTCGGTGCGTGTGGCTGTGGCTCCTCTGGTTTCGCTGGACCTCCTCCTCCTCCTCCTCCTCCTCCTCCACCTCCTGCCATGATCTCACTTTCTCACTCTACAAAAACAGCACACGAGAATCAGTGAAACAAGTACCAAAACAGCACTACCAGAAACCAGAAATCCAAATCCGAGCACTACCCAGATCCCAAATCTTAAAGACAGTAGCAAAAACAGTAGAAACCCAGATGAAAAACCGAGAAACAAGATGACCCAAAAAAGCACACCACCCACATGAACAACCACTAATATATCAAAAGTAGGGAATTATAGAAAATGGAGGCCTGTGAAAGGACAAGAAAGCCGAGAAAATGAAGGAGTAACACCAGTGTGCCAGCGTCTTTTGGGGTCTTAATAATTGCAACACCAAACAGTGAAAAAGCAAACCAAAAATCAAATGAAAAAAAGCATTAAAGTCATCAATGAATCATTCATCTTACCTAACAATCACGACACCTAGAAATGTACACTGGAAAATCAAAAATGAGTAAAGAAGAGAGAGAAAGGCAGGTGCTTTTTGCAGCAGAAATTGAGCGAGTGAAATGGAGGTGAGAAAGTGAAGATCAATCAATAAAAGGAGAAAGGTGGTGCAGTACTCTACTTACTATAGTCCAAGACAAAGAGCCCCCTGTTGCGCTCTTTCTATATTCTTGCTTTTTCTCTCTCTTGCTAGAGTAGAAAGCAGAACGCAATGGTTTTTTCGTTGTTGGTTTCTGTTTTCTGCTGAATTGAAAATGAAATAAACATACTTCTAACAAACATTGATTAATGGTTTTTGGTTTTTCCTTCACGGAATTCGGTGTACTTTGGCCACGATTCATGCAGGGGGAATTTTTCTTTTTTCTCAAGCAGAAAACATGGGGAAATATATTATTGTTCTAGATTTTTTTAAAGACGATTCCATTAGGTTCCCAATCTTTCAGTTGTTATAATTCAGTCTCTAGTGCTCGCTTGTCCCAACTTTTTTTAACTTTTGTAACAAAAAGCTACCATCTCCACTCCATCCAAAAAGATTTCATTATTAGTGGATGTTTAGAAGTATTTCTTAAATGTCATTGTTTCAATTTTACTCTCTAAAAGTTTTTAATAACTTTAAATGTTAAAGAGTTTAAATCTTAAAATTAAATAACCACTTTAAAAAAAAAAAAAAACAATAAGTCACTTACACCACTATACTTATATACAATAATTAAAGTTAAATAGAGGTAATATAAGGTTTGATTTGTTTAACTTACGTCTTAAAGGTGTAATAAATGCATCATTTTATAATTAATTTGTATAAAAATATAAATGTTGATTTTAATTTAATGAATAAATTAATTAAATTTATTCACGTGATAATAAAATTAAAATAATTTTTTTTTGTAAATTAATTGCAAAATGGTGCATTCATTGCACCATTAATCTACTCTCATAAGTTAGACAAACCCTATAAGATTAGTTAAATAGTAACTTAAAACAACTTTTGTTTTTTTCTAAAAGTTGAATGTTCAGAATATGAAACTTCTAAAATAAATTTTTTATAAATAAACCTAAGAAATTAGTAATTTCTAATCAATTTGTAAAATTATTCACATGAAATTTAACTCAGCATGCAATATGGTCAGAATTCCCTACCAATTAATAATCTAGTCACTTTAGAAACTTTAGTATAACTTTCTATCATATTTTTAAATTAATACTTTTATAGTTAGTGATTATCAAAAAAAGGAACCGATACAAATGAACCACGTAGTATAGTTTTGAAGCCTAATTTTTATTAGAAGTAAAATAAGAATCAAAATCTAATTTAAACAATTTAAAATGTTAGGGAAAATTGTAACAATTAAGAGATTAAACACAAAACTGAAGAGAGCTTAAAAGGTTAGGACCATCCATGATTATACCCCCGCAGAAAAAGATTCAGTGGGTAAAAAAACAGTATTTTGTAGCTCGTATTAAACTATACCATATTAATTATTAAATAATATAAATTTTTTAATAATTGAAACCCTATTTTATTCAATAACAATTTTTTTTTATTATTTTGATTACATAATAAAAAAAATTATCTCTTATCTTTCATCACACTTTACTTATATGTCATGTAATTCAAATTTATAATATCTTACTTTTAACTAAAAAAAATAACTACTGAATTATTTAAGTTTTTAGTAAAAATAAATTTTATTTTACAATTTAAATTATAAAATAAGAAATTAAAAAATTATTAATAAACATATTTTTGATATTTGGGCAGCAATATTAGTAACGAGAGCATTTCACTCCATAATTCATAAACTTAGGTAGGCATAATTTGATGCCAGCTATTCACCTTCCCTAGAAAGGATTGAGCTAGTGCACCTAGTTTTGACAAAACCAGCACTTTATACATATGAAATGACGAAATTGACTCTGAAAAAGTTTGGCCCCACTGCATGTGGGAGACAGGACACAGGCGCGGCAATGGGGGCAGTTTAGAGAATTGGAAAAGGTAGTCACGTGCGGAGCGTAGGAAGGGGTGCCCTAGCCAAGGGCCAGAGGGGGAAAAGGGGCAAAAGGACAGCCGACACATTCCCTTATCCCTAGTAAATGGTAACAACTCGATGCCATTGAAATTCTTCTTCGGAAATTGAAATTACTCTAGAGATCCCTTAACTAAGTAATATATTTCGATTGAACTCCGTTATTACCTTTCATCTCAATTGAGTCCCTCAGTGGCTCCTTTTAAGTCTATTGCATTTAAGGAAAAAGTAAACCCTTTTTTTTTTTTTTCTGTTCCTGGTTTTGGGGATGTGATTTTTGATTGATAAGATCTAATATTTTGCCAATGACTCCAAAATGCATTAAAATAATATTAAAAAAAAAACAAAAAAGAAATGATTGTTTGAATAAAAAACCAAAAAAGAAGAAAGTATAGTTACAAAGTACCCTAGTCACTACATATATTAGTATCTTAAAACAAGAGTGGATAGGCCTAGATAAGGGTCTAGAGAAAATAATAAATCATTAATAATCTATATGCTATTAAGCCCACATGCCTAGTAAATAGCAAAACACTAAGGGCGGTGAAAAAAAGGTATAAAAAGGTCTTTTATTTTTGCGTATATCTTATACACATCTTATAAAGTGGGATTTTCTAATAGCACTAATAAACTTCCATTTCTTTCTTCCTTTTTTTTTTCAATCGCATGGAGGTTGCATTTTTTGTCCTTTGATCATTGTCACTCCATAATCTTTTCTCCAAAGCATTAGATGGGGACCCTACTTAGCAATAAAGTAACAGGGAGGAAACAATTGCATGTGGTTGCTTGACTTTTTTTCCTCACGTACAATGAGCTGTGGTAGAGGTGCTTATTTGGCATTAAATTAAGGGTTTATTTGGAACAAAGGTTAGTGGAGGAGTTGATTGGAATAAACAATTTTGTTGATGGATCACTTTATAGGGTTATTTTCTTTTCTTAAAAAGTTATTTTTTTCCCACCTTTTTTTCCCTTTTTTTTCAAAATTTTTAGCCAAAATTATACCACCAAAATACGAAAAAAAAAAAAACTATTTAGTGTTTTATAATTGGATATTATTGATGATTTTGTTTTTAAGACATGAAAATATAAAAGAGTGAGTATGGATAATCGGTGAATTTAATATTCTTTTTTATATGGTATTTGTTTGGTCGAAATGAGATTGTTCCTATTATAGTCATGAGAATTAATAAAAAATAACTTTCTCATGACCTTTTCAAGAATCAAATTTTAGAGGATAAGGTGAGAATAAACTTAAATCATAACTTTTAGATGAATTTAAAATTTTTTTTATAAGATTACAAATAATTAAATCTTGATTTTTTTTTTTTTTTTATGATTCTTGATAGTTACTTTTTTTTATATTAAAAATGCAAGCTCAAGCATGATATGTGTCATTTTGGTATCTTCCTTTTGCATGATAAAATGTAGATCTATATTTGAAACAATTTTGGGAAGTACAATTTTGTTAAGAAAATATAAAAAGTTTAAACTAACAAAAATTTTTTTTTGTCAATCTAGCTAAGAAATATTTGTTTTGCTCTTAATGAGTCATGTAACAATGATATTTCATTAAAAGTAAAGATGATATTTTTAGCCTCTAACAACAATTTTTTCCCAAAATTTATGCATCCTAGGAAACTGACTGCTTCAAGTTAAAAGAGTGTGGGATCAAATTTGCTGGTTCTCAAAAGTAGCTTTCATAATTTGGGACTTTATATGATAAGGTATGGCTACTGAGTTGAACTTAATTATTGAAGCATTCGACCAAACCGGCCCAACCCTAGTAACTAAAGTGGATGGGGTGGCAACCCAGCTTGGCTTAGCGGTAGGTGCTAGCTAGTATAAAGCCGCAACCTGAGTTCAAACCCAGTCTCCCTCCCCCTTAGCAAAGAAGAAGATGAAGAAGAAATCTTAAAACAAAAAATCAAAATTGACTAGCAAGATTAGGGTCATCCATCATGTAACTCTTACTATGAGAATCACATGATGGATGACCTTAATCTTATCAAGCAGTTTTGATTTTTTGCAACCCCATAATAAATTCCTTTTAAAAAAAGAAAAAAAGAAAAAAAAAACCTAACACACCCACCCACCCATATGAAGCCTGTTAGGTTTTTGGTTGATATAATTTTTTCTTGCACATGTTTCTTTGAGGAATTTTCGAAGAGAAAATAAGCTCATTCATAGATAGAAATTGATCTAGAGTGATGCTTACACCTTTGAAATACTATTATCTTTCTCTTTCATAGAATTAAGCTCTAGTCAATTCGGATTTGCCCATACAATCACACTTAACAGCAAATGGGGAAGAAACATGTCTATGTCTTATCTTGCTAATAGAGACAAGAAAGAATTGAAAACCTCTTTGTTTTTTTAATCATATCATGATACTTACCTTGTACATTAAGGCATAAACAATTCATCCAATCAACTCTAATTATTTGCTTAATGCATGCATATATGGTTATGGAACAATCATCATAAGGGTTGGAATTCAAATTTGAGTTTAAGATTCTTGATTATGAAGTTATAAGCCTCATATTTAACATTTTAAAAAATATATAATATTATGTGGTTAACTCTCTATTGAACAAAGAAAACACTGAAGAAAAATAAAGGAGATGATTTTTGGGGGGAGAATCAGACCTCCTACAAAGGACAGAAGAACAAACAATTGCTAAAAGTGAAAAGGAATGATGACTGTAATTGCACCATAAACAAGAAACTGTGCCATCTATTTCAAATCAGATTACCAAGAATTAACCAGTTAGCACTTTTCCACTGCCTATTTTCAAAAAAAAAAAAAAAAACAGTTAGGATTTTCTGATTTGACCCAACAAAAGGTCAAAAAAGCTTCTGTTTGCCAGAGAAGAACATACTCATCATAGCATCATATGTTCATAGAATTTTCTCATTTTCTTTTAAAAAAAAAAAACCTACAGCAACAGTTTTTTTTCATTTGCCTAGCCTGCAACCACATGATTGCTTGAAATCTGGCATAAATTGGAGGACAGTTGGGATTTGTATGTTTTTTTAATGGTCAATGGACAAAAAGGAACAAAGGAGGTAATTGGGTGTTCGGGGAATAAGGTATAGGAGAAGGAGCTGATTGATTTTGTCCCTATATCAAGCTTTTGTTTGGCAAACAGGACATGTCAAAATCATACAAGATCACCTAATCCTCAAT